CTTAATACGCTGCTGGGCTTATTAACCGTGGGTTTAATACCCGGCGACCAATATAATAGGCTCTGAACGGAACGCAGATCAGCTGGCCGCATAGATGCAAACGATGAGAACTACACGAAATGCCCTCTTCCATTCCATTTTACGATATATTCCTGGTTAACCAAAGTGATGTCAGTCGTGGTGATGTTTGCTCGCCTTCGTCTCACTTAGTGTATTTGCAGGCTCAGGTAAATGATCAGTGAAGCCTTTATGAAAGTAGGCCATTGTGGACGTACAGTCATGCAGACTTGCGCAGAGAACCCAAGAAATTCACGTAGCCTTCAATTCTATGGCAACCAGTGCAAAATTGGTCAGTAAAAATATGTGCATTATCAGTACTAGAGAAGACAAAGCCTATAAAATCTGTGATTCCAAAGAGCAGAACAACGCACCCCAACATGTGTTGTTTTCTTCACACTGGCCTACTTAATATATGCAGATGAATGGGCATACTAACCTCATATTTCCGCGTAGTTCGTCGGTAGTCTTCGACACAAAACAGAAGCTCGTCGTTCACGTTCATCAAATTCGCCAGAGACTTTTCAGCCTCCTCAGTGCTGTCGGTAGAAATTTCATCTAACTTTGCATTAATAAGCCGGTCAACCTTCTGCTGCAGACGCATCAGACGCTCACCAATGATCTAGACGGAAGAATCAACAGGGACATTTGACTGGCATCTGGCTGGCTAGCAAACACTTTCATAGATATGACCGGGTAAAGTGAAGAGGTTGGCGTCTATTTCGTGCGTAAGCTCACTAAATATAACTCTTACTTGGAGTTCTCTCATCCACGCTGGATCAGCCATATGAGCGGACGAGGAACTCATATCCTGTTGAAACGTCATAAACTGCCAAAGGACCTCACTCGCCTCAATGAGTGTCTGTGGAACATCATCAGCCTCTGTCAAGGGTGGCTTGGCCGTAAACTCAGCCGAAATATCTGCCGCTGCCGTCGCTACTGTTGCTGTTTCGAATGTTGTTGCTTCCGGGGGCCAATTCATCGCTGTCTGCAATCACGAAGGGAAGGGGGTGCATCAGGGATAGAATAGGTCTAACATCATGAAGGCCCTGTGCAAGGCTGTTTATTCCGCAGATCTCGAAATAAAAACATCAAAGAGACGGAACAACATTCAAATGGCCTAACTTAATTTTAGCCTCCTTTACAAAGTCACTAAG